TCCATATTTGTTCCAAAACCTGTTTCGGATGGAAACTTGCATTATCCATCGATGCACTGTTAATAGCCATTCACATTTCTTCGTTCGTGTCAAGGTCTCGTAACTATATATAGTTCGTGAAATTTCTGTACTCTCATATAAAGGAGTTCTATCAAAAGTCAGCAATTTTTTGTTTTCAAGAATGTCAGCGTTTTGTACATACACCTCGCTGCAAAACGCCTTCTCTCGAACTTCGGACTGAAGGAACGGTTAGAAGTATAAACGCTTAGTTGGCATCTCTATTTTGTAATCATTGGCAACTACCGTAGCTGGGAGTGCAAATGCGTTTGTCATCAACTTCGTTTTGTTAATCCAAAGTTAAACTTACTTTATCTCCAGCATTCTACCTCATCTGTTATCGCGTCATATTGTTTGCCTTCGCCCGAAACAACGCAATATCGTTAGTAAATCAAAAATGAGTAGATGATTTGACGTTGATTAAATAATTTCTGCTATAATTATTTTTACGGAATACTGACTCAAGACATGTGACAAATAGCTTGGACGATATGGGATCTCCTTGATGACCTTGGCAAATTTTGATCGAACCTTGCTGCAGCCATGGCTAGATACAACTAGTGCCGGTTTCACATGCAATTAGATGACCCTTAACAGCGGACTCCAACAATGTGCATTCCTACATATATCAATTTTTTCAATAGCTGCATAACGTTTGTGCCAGCGACCTCCAGCCCACAGCATCGAAATGATTTATTGACGCCGACGATAGTGCGCTCGCCAATGAACATACCGACCTGCAGAAGCTAAACTGCACACCCGCCACTGACTTGACTGTTCTGGCGACGAAGACTAGGACAACGATCTTCCACCTGAACAGTCTTTCTTGAGTTCTGTGATCGTTTCGAAGAAAGATGACGCAAAATAGGTAGGAGCCATTCTTGATTTAACCCTCACGCTTAAGCCACACTGAAAAGATACAATAGAAGATCAAGGCGAGGGCAAATCTGCTACGAATACGAACACTTGTCGCGCACGAGTGCTGCCATGCGGCCCTGACGGTCAGGCACTCTGTTCCGCTTAACTGCCCGTTGTTTGGAGCTACAGTTGCCACACAGGAAAAGTGGACACGCAGCTGGAATGAAGTGATACGAATCGTGACAGGAACACTGAAGCGAATACAAACATTGTGGTCACCAACTTTGGAGCACACTGAACCCCCTTTACGTCGTAGGGGAGAGCAGGTGTTTCGCGAGTTTCTGGTCATTGATACAGATCGCCACCTATCATCCGTTGTGTCCTCCAACAGGGTCTGATACGACGCCTCATATCACAGCACCCGACATCGGAGCGAGTGCCGATGCTGCGACTGAGTATCGAGGAATGGTGGAGCAATGAATGAAACACTGCAGTCGTTCATAACATAGACCTTATCCTCAACCCGATCAGAAAACTCCCAGACATGGGTTTGGCTCGCCTAGAATAGTCGAAGTTGGCTCGGACTCGGACTGAACAGGGACGTTGAAGGCGTTTCTTTCGCCATTCGAAGATGAAGTCTAATTTGTACCATGACCGCAGTCATAAAGATCAGAGGGTTCATTACATTATATTTGAATGACCGCTGTGAAACTTCGATGACAGCATAGCTGATGTTCAGAATGTTACTGCGGCAGTCATTCACTGGCTTGAATATCTGGATATTCAAATACTAAATTGCTAGTCGCTTCCCACCAATCGAGTGGCAGAAAAAATATCAACTAAATCGTCAAACAACTGAATCATTGTGCTGCATCTATGGTACTCTGGTTGTAGGATTGGGAAGAAATCTTCTTTGGCTACCTGTGTTCAGTGCTCTGAAAATTATATCATGTCCCACCATATCAAATGTCTTATCATATTC